TAGGAGTAGGAGTAGGAGTTGGAGTTGGAGTTGGAGTAGGAGTGGAGTAGGAGCAGTAGCAGCAGTAGCCGCAGTAGCAGCAGTAGCAGCAGTAGCAGCAGTAACCGTAGCAGCAGTAGTAGTAGTAGTAGTAGTAGTATTAGTCGTCGTAGTAGTCGTAGTAGTCGTAGCAGCAGTAGTAGTAGTAGTAGTAGTAGTAGTAGTAGTGGTAGTAGTAAGCAGTAGCAGTCGGTAGCCGTAGAAGTAGCGGTAGCGGTAGCGGTAGCGGTAGCGGTAGCAGTAGCAGCAGCAGCAGCAGTAGCAGTAGCAGTAGCAGTAGCAGTAGCAGTACCAGTAGTAGTAGTAGTAGTAGTAGTAGTAGTAGCAGCAGGAGTAGTAGTAGTAGCAGCAGCAGTAGTAGCAGTAGTAGCAGTAGTAGCACTAGTACTAGTATTGGTATTTGTATTCGTACTAGTACTAGTACCAATAGTAGCAGTAGCAGCAGCAGCCGTCGGATTCGGAGTCGGAGTAAGGGTAGGAGTAGGGACAGAGGTGAGTAGGAATAGGAATAGGAGCAGGGAGATGAGGAGTGGGAGTAGGGAGTCAGGAACAAGAGTAGGAGTAGGCCGTGAGTAGCTGAGTAGCTGTACGAGTAGGATGATGACGATCTACATGCGCACCACCAAGGTCTCTGGCCATTGTTGCTTTGATTGACACTGTCTTTGGCTGGCAAATGCCCCGGCCTGCCGTGACGGTGGCGTGCCCAGGCCACAGCTAGGTCGTCGCACCCCATCAGTTCTGCATCGTCTATACACTCTACTGGCCTTGGATTTGCGGTCTTGGGGGTGTTCGGGGTTGTGGGCCTTATGAAGAATCGAAAACCTTCATCACAGACACCTGACAGTATAGTCTATGATGCTAGTAACTAGTATGGCCGCATTGCTGTCGCGGGTGCTTCGACTTCTGGCCGTTGGCTGGAAATCGCGCAGGATGCAATCCACAACAAGAAGAAATAGCCCCTCATACAGACCCTAACCGGCCCTTCCCCAAACGAATAGACAGACGGTAGCCTTTTGTGCGTGAGGGTCCGAGTCATGACTCGCCACATCAAGTAGCCAGGACAGCTCAAAAGCTGAAGCCCCAAGCCCTGCTGAGCAGGGCAGAGAGGAGCAAAAGGGCCCCCTTGAGTTGGATCCCGGGACTGCAGGCAACCACACAACTGCAAAACCCAAACCCTCAATGGCCCTAAAGCCTTCCCCTCTACCCCCTTCAAAACCTCCACCCCATCTCAAGCGCAGTCCAAGCACGGAAAAGGTGCGGCACGGTCGGCAGTGCCTTGGGGGCTTGCGGCATTCTCCGAGGCTGAGTTTAGGGTTTAGGAAGGCAGTGCTGCTTCCCAGCTGATCAGCAGAGACTGGGTTCAAGAAAATGGTTCAGGGTGGGGTAGAGTCCTCGACTTTCGAATGTTAGGCTTTGGGGTTTTAATTTAATTTGGAGATCCCATTTTCGGGTGTCACTATGAGAAAGATGTCTCCATGGCTATATGAGAGTCAGTGCTAGTTGCATGGTGAAGGATTCAGTTTTTGAGCATTGTTTCGTGCCGAGAGGGATCAGGTTGCAGTTGTCTGTTCAGGGATGGTTTCGCGTCTGGGGCTAGTCAGTGAAATTCAGTGAGGGTACGCTTGCTCCTGTGGTTTGTCCTCCGTCGTACGCCTCGGCTTCAGTACCGGGTCCAGAAAAATGGGGCTCGGGGATATGGAGCCTCAGGGTTTAAATTAGTCTGGGGTTCGAGCTGAGGGAGCGAGCACTCAATTCTCCGGCAGCGGGAGCCCCTCACACAACTACTTCGTTGAAATTTTGTTCTTTGTCTTGGAATCTTGTTTGGTTTTGACATTCGTGGAGCTGTCGTAACAGCAATTAGCGCCGTTCAAGGTCGCTTAGCTCGTTGTGGGAGGGTTTTAGGCTTTGCGCCTCCAGGATACTTTTGGAAGGGCTTCCAACCTTCCCCTTCAGTACCGCCTGAACTGCTTGTGCCACGTCTACTCCATGGCATTCAGAACTAGGCACGCGAGCCCCAAGACGTTCTAAAGCCTGATTCCTCGCATCTCTATCCACCATTGTTGAAGCTTGCTTGCTGGGCCACGGAAAGCCTTCTGTTTACTCTGGGCGCAGGTATATTTGCCACAAGCCCTAAACCCGCAGCCGGAGTGCATAAATTGAACGGAGGTTTCATTCCCTTCCTCGACCTCCTCTCGGTGACCTTCCCACCTGCGGCTGGCATCATCTGCTGCGAGCGCTTCGCTGAGAGTAGGAGCTCGGAGGTCAGTGCTCGGCTGGACCCTTCAATCGAAGACGACGTTTCCCGGAAACACTACATCTCAAACCCAAAGCCAAACATTGAAATCCCATGTCAAAGGACCCTGATAGCAGTGACCGTGCATTCTCCGAGAGCCTAAAGTAGCAAAGTTAGTGGAGGACGCGATGGTTATAGTATGCTATCGTCACCGTCTAGGATGACAGATTGCGAAGCTCAAAGCTTTCAGGCTGGACACTTCTTTCGTACAGAGCAATCTCAGGGCCTCTTTCGATTTTCGCCTTGCTCCCTTATGGAACACACTAAAACACGCAGTACCGACCCCGAAATCCTGAACTTTGGTATTGTTGCGTGCGAAGATCCCCGAGGTGTGCTGTCCTCAGACAAATAGGCTTCTTTTTGGAAGCCCGTAGTTTAGAGCGAAGTAAAATCTCAGGCATGGTATACCAGAGCGTGGGTCTTAGAACAGTTGTGGTTTAGGTATGTCATGTTTGAGGGTGCTCGGGTCCATGGGTCTCGGATACCCTTGTCAAGATACCCAACCTACTACAACCGAGGTACCTCGTGGTCAAGGGTTTCCGATCGCAGCTGGACGAGACGCGGGCTTCTGGGACGATGCCGGAGGCCGGGGTGGGGATTTCGAGTTACAGGATTATACGTAAGGGTTTGGGGTTGAGGCGCAGACCTTCAGCCCGAAACCTAAACCGTAGACAGGGCTAGGTCACCTCTGGCGAAGGCTCAGCTCGGAGGCATTGTTGAGCTTTTGGTTTTCAGTGAACTGTTTTACACATTGAAAAGGATTTGCTCGAAACTTGTGACTATCAAAACAACTGGCGGTATCTCTGCTTGTATGTGTGTATGCATGCATGTATGAATGCACGCACACATATGCCTGTGTATATATATATATA